CTTTCCTCTTAACATCAGAGCCCAATGCAATTTCAGGGCCACCAACCCTGCTCTGAATTGTGACCTCCTGGTGCTTGAAACAAGTTGCAGATTCTCATTGCTTTGATGGATCTGGATGTTTATGCACACCTAATATTACAATTCATCAACAGAGTTGCGACCTGGTCACAGAGCCATCCTTGCCCTAGAGGTGGGATCATTGCAGGCAAATTTTCGGCTAACATGGCAGCCTTCTCTGGTCTGAGGGAAGATTAGTGAAAGTGTCATTGATGATTGATGCAGTCTCAATAAACTTCCAGGGCCATGCGCCTCCCCCCTGGTATTGAAGGCATCATCATATCCATAGGGCGGAGCAGGTCAGATTAGCCTTGTGTACACGAGGAATGTGTGAGAATGACTGTAAAGTGTTCAAGGTAGCGTGCATGCTTCAACGTCTGCTAACTTCCGATAATCAAACATCGCATATTTGAATTGTTTCTTTTTAAACAGTGTATTGCCTTGACATCATGTAATTATATATTAATAATAGTATTATTATTGATTACAAAAAGCAAAATATTATCAATGAAAATCTTGTAATTACCCAGCAAGATCTGCTCCGCATTTTGATTTTCAATTAAAATATTTATAAACTAAAATAAAAGACACCTCATACATATCAATACAAATAAAAAATAGCACCTCTGGTTAGTTATTAACACATTCTTTAGGAAACCCAAACCAAACCAAACAACAACACTCACGTTTTGTCACCTTAGACACTGTCAAAAAATAAATTGTTTTTCCAAAAAAAAAAAAAAAAAATCAATCAATTCATGTCTATCCTACCAAAAAAAAAACCAATAGGATAAATAATTAATGTGTACGCATCGATCAAATAACAAACTTTATTTTCATAAAAAATTTAACAAAATGTCTGAAGGAATCAACAAAAGAAGAAGAGGAACTGAGACTAAAGACACATGAGTAAGTGTTTTAAGGATGGTGGTGGTTATTGCCTGCCACTTGTCGTCACTCTAGTTCAATCAAAAAAGATAACCCACATTTTTTTTGACATGTATAAACAGTGCCCAAAATCTGGAAGCTCGTGTGTCTCCTCCAAATAAAAAATACCTTTCTGAAAATGATGAAGTAAGTAATAAGTAAATTATCTTCTCTTTGAAGGATAAGACTAATTGTTTTTTATTAACCAATTTCCAACTCATAGGAAGAGCTAGAGGAAAATCCACAGACAAAAGTCACAACACCATTTTCTGAGTTATTAGTTAATATAGAAGAAAATGAAATTGATTTGATTGATTTATTAGAGAAGTACTGTAAAAAACCAACCACTAAAAAATACAAGTAAATATAATTTTTTTGTTAGACTATGCCATTATGTATAATTTTAATTTTTTAATTTAGCTATTTTTTTTTTACAGCTTGGCTCATAGTTATATTCTAGACTTATCAAATACATTATCAATTTCACTTTCAAATATTAAACAAGAGTTTAATCAGCAAGCATGGCAAGATCTTGTGGAAGATAAACCAAAATTTTTAGAAACATCAATTACTATACAGAAATTGAGACCATTTTTGATAGTGTTCCATGTCGCAATCCAAAAAAGGAAACCAAAGTGGTTGCAAAGGTGGTTGCAACCAGGTGTTGCAAACCATTTTTATATGTCGCAAATATTGTTGCAACCATCACCAAGAATTGCAACCAGATCTATAATTTTTGATCATCTATTTGGATCAAAAAACCATGTATATATATGTTTAAAATTATTTTTAATTGAATTTGATTAAAATTCTAAAATGTTTTTATTTAATAGAAAAATCCAATCAACCTTGAAGAAGCTTGTGAAAGGTGGATAGCCTTAAGATCATTAAGTGCACCCACACATAATAGCAACTTTTCATATGAAAAAAGTGATTGGAACCAAATTATTTTTTGGGTTGAATGTGCAATTGGGTATTAGTAAGTCTTTTTAATACAATTATCTTATTCTGAATGTTTTCTAGCAATTTTATTTGAATATAAAATTATATTGATTTTAGTAAGTTGACATAAAATTTTCAATCCAATTTTTATTAAATATATCATAGTCTTGATGCATTTGAAGCAGAAGCAAATCCTATACTACAGACAAATTGTGGTGAGCGTGAGTGGTCTGGAGAATACATTTACCCAATTTTCAAAGGTGCTTTTACATTAAATCGATTTTGCAGAGTACCATGGTATGTACTTATTGAATAGAATTTCTATATTCAAAACGAGTATGGTGATTAAATTTTATGAATATTTTTAGTGGAGAAGTAACTTCCAAAACCAGCCAAGAACGAAAGAATTTATCAGTTAATGTTATGGAATAACAAGTAGGGTTTGTATTCATGGATACCATGAATACCATTAAGGGGGTTACACACTAATAAATCAGCAAAAAATCCCTTAAAAACACTTGATTTTAATAGTGTGTAACCCTGTGTGACCTCCTTATGGTATCCATGAATACAAACCCTAACAACAAGTAAAGCGTGGCTATCAGATGGATATTTTATGTATTGCTGGTACTTATGAAGTCTTTTGTGGTTATGTGTGTGGAAATGCATCTTACACTGATTTAACCAAGTTGTCAAATGATGAATTTGATCTAATACAAGGTTTAAAAGACATGTTGAGTTATATGATAAATAAATTTGATTCAGAACAAAATTTATATACATTAGGATTTGAGGTAAATATGAGTTTTAAAGCTAATTCTGTTAATTGCTGGTTGACTTGGGTGCAAAGAAATGACAAACTCCCTTAATTCTATTTCAATTTAGGTGTATACAAATGAAATTAGAATTTATTTAATGGAAATGCGGGTGGTGTATAGGTTGCACCTTTTAAAAAGGTTAGAACTGCCAACCCAATTTTCATCATATAGACAACTTAGATCAGTACTTTTGTGGGCGTGGAATCTAAGAGTAAATTTATTTGTAGCGTTAATTTATGAAATTTAGAGGTCTCATGTTATTTGCTATTAATTAATTATTTATCATTTTTGATTTAGGGCATGATTAGAAATCTTTGGTATAATAAAATAAATATTGATATAGATGTTTCCTCAACACTTCCAAAAAGCAATAATCATAAAATGTCAACACCAACAACACCACCAAGAGCAAAAAAAAATAAAGAATACTGACTTATTCATTCATTACTGGGAAGGTGTAAATTGTCTAATGATATGTGAACATTACTGGAATAATTGTTTGTAAGGTGATAAAATTATATGGCAGCATAAATAATTAACTGAATGCATATTTTTATAAATATATTTTCTTTAGAATAAAAAAAAATTTTTTTTATTGCTTTTTTTTTTAAAATATATTATAAAAAAAAATCACAATTGGTTTAGAAATAATAAAATAAACATTGATACTATTAGTAGTAATAGTAATAATGGTTTGGATTGACAACTCTGTCAATTATCATACTTTTGGTCATACTACATACACAACATTTGACACCAAATATATAATGTTCATGTGATCCCTGAAATCTTTGGTAATACTAATGTTCACTTTGTTTGGTTTTGTTGCAGTATGCCCCAATTAATATTTTAAAAAACAATGATATTGGCTGCAATAATAATAATGATGATGATGATGAAAAATACTTACTTGCTATTTATTATTTAAAATAAAATGAAAATAAACAGTTAAAATTTTCCAAAAGCAATGATATTGAGTGTATTAATAATAATGATGATGAAAATACTTGCATGCTATTTATTATTTAATTCAATAAAAAAAATTATTATTCACTAAATAACTATCAAAATTACACAGTGTAAATTTTATTAATTTGTTATATAAATAATGAATATTCTTAACATAAATTCTGTATAGGGTCCATTGAATAACATTATTTTTATCATGTGCTATTTAATGTTATGAATAACACATTTTTAATTTCCTGATGAGAGCATTTAGGAAAATGATTATACACAACTTCCCTCTTAACATCAGAGCCCAAATGCAATTTCAGAGCCACAAACCCTGCTCTGAATTGTGACCTCCTGTGCTTGGAATGAGTTGCAGATTCTCTTAAGAGTTGCAACATCTTGGTCACAGAGCCATCCTTGCCCTAGAGGTGGGATTGTTGCAGGCAACTTTTCAGCTAGCATGCCAGCAGCCATCTCTGGTCTGGTGCTGTAAGGGAAGATTAGTGAAAGCATCATTGACAATTGATACAGTCTTGGTAAACTCCAGGGCCATGCACCACCCTGGAATTCAGTAGCATTGTTGTATATATCATCATGGAAATCTTGGTCAAATTAGCCTTGTGTACATGAGGAACGTGTGAGAATGGCTGTAAAGTGTTAATTTATAAAATAAAAATATTGAATATTTTTAGCTTTTAAGATAATTTATTTGATATAAATATGTAAGAAAGATATTTTCAATCTCAGAATATTTACAGTTGTTGATCTAACTTTAGTAAATAAAATTATTAACTCTTTTTTCCTAATCACAGTTTTTTCAATCATTGTCTCCAAACTTAGCAATATGTGCTATCTTAATAGGTTTTTGATTTTCTGTAACAGTAGGGAACATGACCCTTCAAATGTTGTTAATTGATTCATGTAATATACATCAATTTTCCTTCTGAGGATTTTTGCTTTTTGTTGGATAATAGCACATCTTCATGCTGCTTTCTTTTTCTAACATTTATTAGTTTTCTTTCTTGGTAAAGTTCATAGGTAATCTTAGATAAGCTTCAAGTGTCTTAGTATCATTTATTTTGAAAATATAAGGAGCAATTTTTTCACCTTGTTCTTTTTTTAAAACACTTCTGATAGTGCTATAACTCCATAGTAGATCTGATGTAAATGAGTTTCATATTAACTATTTTTATATAGGAGTAGTACTATATATCACTTAAAATAACAAATGGGATTATTATAAAACTGATAATTGTAATCAGATTACAAATGACTAAATTTTGATCCCTGAAATTCTTGGTAATACCAATGTTCACTTTGTCTGGTTTTGTTGCAGCAGTATGCCCCATTTCTGCATGGTTCTGGTATTATCATTACTTGGGTGATGCAATTTATCAATCTATTTATTTGTTAACTCTTTACAAATTAAGGACAATGGTATCACATCCCTATTACTATAGAAATTTTACATATGGAATTATAAAAGATATGGAAAAATTATAAATTGTAATAAAAGTATACTAATAATTAGTTGTTGGTTAAATTATATATTAATTTTATTTATTCCTTAAACGGTTTTTCGGCTATTGATAGCCGAATTTTTTTTTCTGTTATAAAAAACTTTTTCTAAAGGTATTACTTCCTAAAACGAAAATTATCTTTAAGATTCAGCTGATTTATCGGTGAATAAAAATTCGGTTGTTGTCCTTGTGGTTTTCCTTAAAAGTTGGTCGATTGACTATTTTTACTTTGCAGATCGTTAAATTGGCCAATAAGAATGCAAGATCGTGATCAAAAAATTATTTTGTGTTACTATTACTACCAAAGAATACTTTGACCGTTTAAGGGATAAATAATGGTTTATGATTATTATTATTATTATTATTATTATTATTATTTTTAGATATTGGCAAATCATTTTATAATCGGGAATTTAGTTTTACATTAAATGGAGATGTGTGTTCAAGATATAATTCTTACAATAGTGTTGAAGAATTAAAGAAAGATATTATAAATAAATGTCCTGAAAAAATAGACATTGGAACAATCTACACTGTCAGGTAAATAATATTTTGATTAATCATTGGAAGAGATGAGAGGGGATCAATCAATTAACTATTGTGGCACACATCCATGATCAATATTGGTCAGGTTTAATTAATTAATTCACTCGTTTACATTAAAATATTCAAATTAATTTATTTTAATTTTTTTTGATATGAAAATTTTACCATTCTTACAATATGAATTAAAAAAAGACTTTAATTTATCTATTTTATCCAGAGGAATATCAGCTTTAGTAAATGCTTCAATATTGATTTTGTCATGATCATTATTAGTGAAAGAAAGCAAAGAGCTTTGTAAAGGTTGTGGATTATTTTTTGTTTTGTTCAGCAAGGTTTATGTTTCGTTGATTCTATATGGTTATCAACAATTGATTTTTTATAGTATATATGGTTACAAAAATGACAACATTTTCCCAGTTTCAACGTAAAAATGATTATTATAATGACTTTTTTTTCCTCAAACGTTCTAATGCATTTTTCATTCTATAATCGTAATTGAATATATATATTAATATATAATCATCATCGATTACTTACATAAAAGTAAATTATACACGTAGATGATGTAAAATGGTCAATTATGCTCGATTATGCGATTATGCTCAGAAATTAAGAAAGCATAATCCTGGGCACCCTAACAATAATATCATACTTGGCATTAATAATAATAATATCTTGGGATTTGAGCTATTTTTTTTTTTTTCATAGTAAAAGGTTAATTAGAACTGAATTTTACAGAGAATCTTGTTATATATAATTCAGTCTTATTTCTTGCTTTTAATTTTTTTATTCCAAGTCTTCTTTTTTAAGGCATTTACAATAGTTTGAGGTTTGGACTTTTAGAAAACTTCATTGCATTGTATAATAAATAAATCTTTAAAAAAGCCATCATCCACTTTAAAAAAAAGAAAAGTTGATTTTATATTGTTATTTTGGTGCGAATGAATTTATATATGGCTCACATTGACAAATTTAATCCATTTTTGCATAATTTGAATGTAGGTGTTGATTGATTAATAAAATTTTTAAAATTATAATATTAATAAAATTATAATAATAATAATTGATTAAATAAAATTATAATAAAATTATCGTAGCAACTAAATCTTTTATGGAAGTAGGTCGGCGTGTAACTGACTAACTAGGTCACAAGCACAACATATCCTATTTTATTTTGGGTTTTTTCATTTTCATTTTCTCACTCTCTTTCTCAATTGTAAAATTGTAAAGAATGACAAACATAAAAATATTTCACAATTCTATTTTACGTAAATTCTCTATATCAAACTCTGCTAAATGGTCTGATTTAGAGGAAAAAATTCGTATGCTATTTACACTTTCACCAACTTCAAAATTCACACTTTCTTATACTGACGAAGAGGAAGATATTGTTACAATATCAACTGATTTGGAACTACAAGAACTTCTTTCTAACCATGGCGCAACCACCATTAAATTTACATTAAATGTAATTGAAGAAGAAGAACACTCAACTACTTCCTCTATTATTATTGAACCACAAACACCAACTACACCACACAATAAAAACGCTTTTTCTTCTTCTTCAAAAGATGATAAAAATGAAAACAACGAAAATAACAACAATTATTATAAGAATCTTTTTGATGAAGATGATAAAAAAATCAAAACCAAAAACAAAACCAAGACCAAAACCAAGACCAAAACCAAAACAAAAAATAAAACCAAAAACAAAACCAAAAACAAAAATAATCATAAGGATCCTTTTGAAGATGATAAAAACAAAATCTACAACAACAACAATAATAAGAGTATTTTTGATGTAGATGATGAAAGTTGGATGTCTTTTAATGACATTCCTAAAAATAGAAAAGAGCATGAAGTTGTAGTAAATACTGCGGGATCCACTAATAATGAAACTCTTCCTCTCGATTTAGAGAAAATGGACATCAATGATGAATCGTCATCATCCCAAGGATTTCAACAAAAACAAAAAGAAAAAGAACAAACGAGACAATTCAAAGAAATTGCTATTAAAAATCCTTTTAGTAGTGATGATGACGATGATGACGATGATGACGATGATGATGATGATGATTCTAGCATTATTCGACGAAAAGAAAAAATAAAAGAACAAGAAAATAAAATAAGGCAAAGTATAGAATATGAATTGCAACAACAACGTGAAAGAGAAGCACAACAACAACGTGAACAAGAAGCACAAAAACAGCGTGAACGAGAAACACAAAAAGAAGAAAGTAAAGAAAATATAGATACTTTTACTTTTACTTTTACTACTACTACTGCTACTGCTACTCCTACATCAACTTCTACAATTGAACAGGTAAAAAGGTTTCAAGCCATGGTATCACAATTTCAGGATGTTGTTGATTTTTATCCAGTGTTAGCTTACGCTATAGATAGTGTTACAGATGAAATTTTACAATCTAAGCCAATTGATATCGAACTTTGGCGTGAATGCTTAATTTATTATCGTCAAGAAAAACAGAAGCGGGAAAGCAGTGACAATAATGATAATAGCACCATTTCTTCTGCTGCTTTCATGTCTGAACACCCATTATTACATCAATATGTTAGTCCTCTTTACTTCACTTCATCAACTCCATCAAATAATAGTGATAATGTGAGTCATCGAGATCCTTTATCACGTAGTTCTAGAAGCATTGAAAATATTGGTGGCAGTAGAAATAATCATGGCCCATCACTCGAAGAAATATGCATAGTTAATACACCGTTATCACCACCACCAAGAAAAGTTTCGGTTGATGAATCGAATTTTGATGATAAAGTTAAACAACTTTGCGAAATGGGATTTTGGGGAGATGAAGGAGAAATGATTAAATTATTGAAAGCTCATAATGGTAATATTGGAAAAGTTGTCGAGGAATTGGCTTTAAGGTGTTAAAATTGCCCCCTTTTTTTTTAATTATTACTTGTATCATTATTATCATGCTTGTATTTTTTGTTAAATATATGTATTTATTTTCAAGAATGTATGTATTGGGTAGCTATAATTATTTTATTAAAAGTTATTATTTATTTATTTTATTAATAATAAACATTTTTTGTTATGATTTCTAATAGAAGATTACTGAATAATTAGTTTTTGTTATTTTTTGAATAATTATTCTATATCTATCATGAAAAATCAATGATCAGTGCAATTCGCGAATAAATGGATGTGTTGAATTGATTTTAAATTTGAAAATGGCAATTTAATTGTAAGTATTGATTGTTTCAAACAGGTGAAATCAAATCACATTTACATTATGTACGGGAGAGTGATGTGGTCATGAAGAGTAAAAATATATTAGGAAGAAGGCTCATTGCTTTATCCAAAGAGATTTGATTAAGAAATAAGCATAGAACAAAACAGTAGACAATGCCGCAAATTTCTTGGTCCTTTGGTTCTAGGTTGAAAGCTTCGTTGAAAGATATAGATTTTCTATAGACAATGAATGACATAATATTTTTGCAGCTCGAACTCAAAAGAGACGAGTTCCAATTCCAACTTTAAACAATGTCAAAATCCTAAGTCTCAAATCCCAATTTTGAAATGTTTATTATTATTAGATGTATACAAATTAAAATCATTAGCATAAAAAACAACTCTTATAAAAAAAAAATAAATGGTAATAGAAGATGAACCAAATGAGAACATTTCTTAACCCTCTCTCTACTCTATTTAGTATGACATCAACATCAAATCATTCTTTGTTGATATTTCATGACATGAAATTTCCAAATATGAAGAGTTTCCGATCCAACTATTCCATTTTCAATATGTTCTTCTCATAGCCACTTCACGCGTTAGTGATAAATTTTGCCGTGCTTACTCAAACATGCTACATTGAACTGTCCACAAGAAATAACGAATTAATCGAGTATATATTAAGAAATGACAATATTATTAATGTTCAAAAAAATTTTTTTTGATAGACGGTTCGCATGAAATTGATTTTGAAGTATTCAATGCATTGACAATTATACCGTTCCAAATATGTAAAACTGACATTAAGCTTAAACGAATAAAGCCAGATTGGATTATACTTTCACTAATTTGCTTTGCAAACCAGAAAAATTGTTTCTTAAATAGCCACTGATTGTCTAGAACACCAAAGACTTGAAGTTCTGTTTCCGGCAGCAACCAGTCAATGACATCTCTGTTAAGATTTGCTTCATGTGTACATCATCTACTTTCTTTTTGAGTTCAATAACTGCAGTTAAGCCAGTTTATGACACAAGCGCATTCACAACTGTTTTTTATCAATACAATAACTGTATAACTGTTCTGCCTCTCAAATCAAATGGTAATCAATGAACCCATGTCTATTCCCATGAATTTATGGTTTCTGACATCCAACCTAATGGGATTGGGAACCTGGAGATACTCTGATCTATGTTCTGGCTCTGATTTTGGCTCAAACGAAATCCATAAATTTATTGTTTGAAGTTTTAAACCAGTTTTTTTTGTTTAATCTTAATGTTATAATACTTGATATTGAAGGAAACTTATCTTCTGATGCATTTCGTGTATCTCTTTGATGGTTCGTTATGACAAATAAGAGGAAATCAAACTAACGTTGCATGTTTTGTTATCAATCAACCTGCTAAAGTGTCTAATGAGTATATGTTGTGAATCTCCAGGGTTAACAAGATCTTCATAAGTTGTTGAGGTCTTCTTTTGATCGAAATTCACCGGATATTTGAATATGTTGTGCGTGAAAATTAAACCTGAAATTCCTATGTGAATTTATTGCTTTTTTACGTAAATTAAAAAAGTACGAGTCAAATTAATCCTGTGAATAATAAGGTTTTCTATGTCAAGAAGGCATAAAGGATTGATCTGCATTACGTGATAACACGGTTTGAATTGTCACTATTATATGCAAATGCAATATCTGTTATGTGAGATTGTCCTCCTCCTTTTGCTTTATTGCATAATTTTAATATGCTAATATAAATCCCATTATTAAATAAATATTAGATATTTTATATTTATTTCAGCAGGCTAATTTTAAATTTATATGTTTCCGTTTAAAAACATACCGAATAAGAAGATGAATTGGTAGGCAACAATTGGTGAAGGGAAGAAAAAATGTACAAGTTAGTTGACACATCAAACATCTATAAAACACAAGTATTCTGGTTATGATATTTCTCTCCCAGAACATGATTGAGTGAATAATTTTTCTTTCTCTTTGCGTCTTCTCTCACGTTTTTCTTGTTTTGCTCTTATCTCCTAGTTTACATTATTTTTGTAAACAGGCTTGGCTGCATTCACGAAAATTTTTCAAAAGATTCTTTTCGAATTCATATCTGACTTGATAGTAAGGTTATTGGTAAAGAATGTTCGAATATCAGTTTTGCTTTTTTTATAGTCAATGGGGCGGAGAGTAATCAGAACGTAAGAATTCTATCATTTTATATTAATATGCTAATCAAAGTCAGATAGTGATGGGAGTAAAAATTATTTTACTCCCTAATGTGCATATTTTGGATCTTGAATAGCTGCTGCAAGTACATACTGCTTCTATTCATGTGAACCGGTGCTTATATTAATGACATCCACATGAAGGATGAGTCGCTGGGAGTCAGAAAGTATTGATTTGATGAAAAAGACATATATCGGAGTTACTAAAACAAAAAATGTTGAAACGAATACATTGAAATCATATCCAATCAACTCAAGGTAAAAATAAAGTTCATTTTTGATAAATTAGAAAAATAGGAAACTTTTCTTTTTCTAGGTGATGCACATGACCCTGTTTATTCCAACTTTTTGTTATTATTGTTGTGGAGCAGAAATGTCAAAATTTCGTTATAGCACGCGTTTATTACAATAGTAATAGTAATTTCAGTGATAATGTTAATTGGTTATCAATCATTCCAAGATTTTCGAAAAAATGAAGCGTGACTTTTATATAACAACTAAAAGTATATAAATGACCTGCAGTACTGGTAATGGGTATAATAATGGATTTCGATTTCATCGATATGTTTACTCTTAAGATTATATTTATAAGCAGACCCAAAGTTTATTTTCGCGCAAGAAAATCTTGCAAGTGTTATTGGGATTTACTATTTAAAAACCACCTCAAACCTGAAATCCAAATCACATTACATCCCGATCAGGGAAAATATTTCTATGCTATAATAATATATTATTATTATTAATCTAGATTTGCGAGAACAAATTATCTCTTCTACGTAAGTAGATAATCCTGAACCCTTGAATAAAGAAAACCCTTACATTTCAAAGTGGCCCTTTCGATTACTAGTGGCAGGTACTCCGAATCTGGAAAAACATCCATGGTTGTGAATTTAAATTACTCGGTAATAAATACCTGCAATTATATTCGATGGAAAACGTAGATATAAAATATCTAAAAATATAAATTATGGTGAAGGATATATTCTTTGTGATGATCTAATTGTTGTTGCAAAACCGCAAGACGAAGGAAACTATACGCTAGCTTTATGAATTTATAACCATTAGTAATCATACCCCTTGGTTTGAAGGTGTATGTAACTTTCACTATGATTGGACCCGAAGAACTTCCAGATACTTCAACCTTCAAAAAAAACAGGTCGAAGGATTGTTATAGTATTTGATGATTTTGCGGATGAGCCTATAACATTTCAACAAAAGGTTAGGGAGTTCTTTAGAAGTGGAAGGAATACATTCAAATATTGGCACAATTTTTATAGCCCAGAATTACTTTGAAACATCTATGCATCGTGGTGGAGCTGGTCATTGGAAAAATTCAAGCGCATTCTTGGTAGCACGTATCCTAATTATAAAATACTTTGTTATTACAGATCTCAAAAGGCCGTATGATGATGATTAATTATCTATCAGATTCAGATGGGACAAGCCTTTGATGAGTTCTAATATACAAAGGGATAGAAACCCCAGATCAAACCTCGGGTGAAGATAAGATATAAGGTAAAATACTGCATAATTCTTTCCGAATATAATTAACATTGTGAGATGTTCGAGTCGCAAACATATATATATATATATACGCTTTACTTTCGAAACTATTCCTTATTAAACAATACCTCGATAATTAATACCTCGATAAATAATATCTCGCTAAGAGAGAAGAAAAAATAAATAAAGAAAATAATTGTACACGAAATTAGTATGAAGACTAACCCCTTTATTTCTTCACCGTCGAAGGAGTTTCTTTATTCAAGATTATTTTTATAATTAAAGATATGTTTATTATATGGATACAAGAAGATGAAAACAACGAAATAAAAATGAAGATAGGAAGATTACAGCGTTATTTATATATTCTAAAGGTTCAATCATCTAGTTCGCTTGTTCAATTTAATGCTTATTAAGACATTCCATTTGGAAGAATAATTTCATGTCTTGAATTCTTTCTTTAAATGGAATTAAATAAATTACACAAGTCAGAACGTCTAGAATAATTCTTGTTGGTAATTTTTATGATTGAAAACTAGAGGAATGCTTTATGATAGTGACTTTGTCACTGAATTTTCTTTTATTTTAAATATTTTTTTTTTTAAATATTTTCCTTTTGAACATCTAAAAAGGCATTATTACTATATAAATAAGTATGACTGATATATAAATATATCATAAAGAAAAAGAAAAAGAAAAAGAAAAAGAAAAAGAATTAAATAATACAAGGTTCAAATTGTTTAACTCTATATGTAAGTGAGAGGGAAAGAAAATTTTATTTTTTAATCCTACCTATAAAAACAAATGGTTGTATTTACAAATTGCCAAGATTCGATCTAAAATTTTGTTGAACCAATCTAAGCAATTTGTGAATATACCCAATTTAAATATAATAAAACAATGATAATAGGAATTATAACCCAAGTCCCGTTTAAATTTCATTTTCATGATTTAGCATGTTTGGCAAT